ACAAGACGGACGAAACGTTTTATCCCACAACCAAAGGAAATGAGCTCAAAATATCCTAGATTTGGATATTTTATCCTAGATATCCAAAAAAATATCCTAGAATACCAATACAAGGAAAATAATATTATAGCACCAAGATGGCGAGGACGAAACCTCATCGAATAACTTTTATAGGACGATGGAAAATATAACTCTTAAAATACTAAGAATACACATAAAGGACAGCAAGATGGCAACATATCGACAATGTTACGTAAATATTTTTTTTTGGGGGGGGGGGAGATGAGTTTAAGCTCTTTGTTTATTGATGAATATTTCTATTTATTCACCACCAATAGCTGAGAACCCGCATTATTCCGAGTGTCATGATCACGTTAAAATTACTGAAAAATTTTTCAAGCCGAGGCCTGTATTACAGAACGTCATTAAGTCATCGGTCGTGGCGGTCACCCAACACCCAGGGTGTCCACAGCAGCAGCAGTAGTTCTCATGTCCATCCGTCTCTTGACGCGCTGGAAGGCCCCGCCCACGGCCACGCCGGTGCGCCGAATCACTATTATTATTTATTTGTGCAACGCATTCCAATTATTTCCTAATTTTATAATTATTCCCTGATGGGAATCGAACCAAGAGTACACTTAGAAAAATGGATGGGACACATTGTTCGACTAGTGACACACTTGCTGCCTGTAGCACTGATGCGTCCTTTTCTCGGGCCAGACTGAATTAAAATGACACACACAAAAGCCAAGTGAATCGTTGTTTGGACAAAGTCTTCTTAATTTCTCTGCGTGCTCCCAGCATCTCCATCTGGCGGACACAGCTCGGGTTGCATCACATTTGAAATTTGTTATCATTCTACAGACGAATGATATCAAGAGCTCCATGTCATTAAAATTACAAGTCAACACACATATTCTTCAAGAATGTGTCCAAGTCAACAGTTTTCTGTTCAATTAGCCCACGAAAAAGTTTGCTTCCATCTTTTCGTGTTTTGTTTTCTTTGACGAGACATAAAGGGTATGCTAGGATGCAAAACATTAACAACTTTACCACTCAAGTATAAAAATAGGATTTCTAGAAACGTTTCGACACGAAGATAAGAAAGCGAACCAGCTAATATCGAAACTTGAGCTATCATATCTCAACAAACAATTTGACAACACAGACGATAACATTTGTAACAGAAGTCGTCAACCTCAGTGCCGTAACAGAAACAGTATTGAGCAGCTCAACCATGATTGCAAGTGATAAGCTAGTACAAAGAACAATACAGGCTTCAGTTCTTATCAGCGGCGAAAGTCTGAAGAGAAGACAAAACAAAATTTCGAGCCATCTATCACGAAGTAAATACATAATATGAGATGCTTAAAACTGGGCAGGGTGGCCAATTGTGGTTAAAGTATTGCAGCAGTGAAGTGCGGGTTCGATCCCATCCTCGTGCGGCGATCAATTCCATTCTGAGAATCGAGAATTTACGAGGAGGCCGGGCGGTAAAGCAAAGCAAAAATGGGAGCAGTGAGTTGCGTGTTCGAGGCCGCAACAAGCTGTGAATGTTATGTGATGTTAAGAATCGGCGATAGGCCTACGGCCTAATAAACGCTGAAACTTTTATATTGCTATTATAGGTATTATTATTAAAACTTGCTAGTCCTTTGTTTGAATATCTGTTAATTTTATCAACCACATATCTGTTAATTATCAACGTTCTCTCCTGTTTTATCAACAGGAGAGAACGTCGAAGATACTTTTGCATTAATGTTGCTGGATTTAACAGAGTGGCTAACAAGAAACTTCTTATAGGCCATCACTGAATACTAGTGTAAAAAATCGAAGCATGAATGATACATAATTCATGCATCGTCGAAACCCTGTATCATCTCATATACGTTATTTAACGTAGTTTTCAATTAGCTGCTGTGAATGGAAAAAGTAGTTCCAGAAAAGAATATCTTTCGTCTGCAACCGAGACACAAACGAAAATTTTTGTTGCTCTACTGCACCAATATTGAGGGAATGAAGTCAATTATTATTCAAGTATCTCAGATCATATCATCCTCATACACAAAATATTGAAAAAATAAACCCTAACAAGAAGGGGGCTATAAGAATAAGATTAAGTAATAATCTCTTGCCTGCCTTAAGTGACACGAGATAATTCGCTCCTCCAAGAAAACCGCCAGCAGAAACAATTGAAATTAAAGCGACACAAAAGAAGAAACAGGAACAAAGAAGAAGGAAGAGTCGTACATAAAGGAGGACTTGAACAATAGACGAAAATTTTCCCGTCAGTCTTGAATAAAAAAAAGTGACATAGGTTATAGTGAATAAAGAAATTAAACTTTGATGACGAAAGCAAGACAGAACTTCCATAACATTTTCTTTACTTTTCATCAAAATCTGACGAGAAATTTTTAAACAACTTCTTGACTTTAGCATATACATGCAATGTAGCATGCATACGCTATACGGATAGCATGCATTGTGACCCTTAAACAAATTTTACACTTATGCCATTCAGAATTAAAAAGATTTCTCTACCGATATAATTTTTATTGGAAATTTTTCATTGTTGTAAAAAGCGGGACTTGTTTTAGTCTTCCTCCTTTGATAAGGACGCCTGTCGGAGACCACCACTGCCGTGCTTCAAATGGACTATCATGATCCCTTCCCTCAAGACCGTAGCCTACAACACTTCTTCGCCAATACTTTCAAAAAAGTTAAGAGATAGTAAGTTCATCAGCCAATCATTGACGGCCTTTCAAGCAAAATCCACCAATCATAGACAAGAAAATAGAACGTAAGTACTTACGTTCACTTAGCGAGTTTTGAAAGTATGGCCCCTGGACTGTAACATTATCAGCCGCAAGCCACCAGGCAGATCACATCCATTGAATTAGATCAGCACTCAGCACGCCCCCCGTAAGAATTGTCAACAGAAAGATGAATATCAAGAGTAACTAATCAAAAAAAGTTGTTCTTCGCCTCGAAGACAATCCGCAAATAAAATTTTAAATAGTACTATAAATTTTTTACAAAAATCCGAAAAAAAAAGACTACCCATTTTACTTAATTTTTGGAGAGAAATTACAGTGAAGAAAATCAATTTAAAATGTGCACTCACACAACAGAATTGATGACAAAATAGTGCTTAAAATAAATGTTTCATTATATATATAAGCAATTTACAATCAAAATTTAAAAACTCAACAAATCAAGGAAATCGTTATATTTTAACAAATACTAAGGAGCTCAGAGAGCAGTTGACCAGGGTGGAAAAAATACATTCATTAATAAATTCCATGTGACAAGTTTTGTTGTCTGTATGAAATTAAGTAATACATGAATAATTGTAATTAATTAATACAGAAAAAAATACCTGAAGCTAATTAACCCACATCAAAATTCCATCCGTAACTTAGTATTTAGAAATATTTAAGACAACACCAGTTTGGAGGGGATATCTAAGTTCATAAACAAACTTTCATTATATTCATAAAATAAATGTAGTAATGAAATTATCATATAAGACATAAGAGAATCCAATAAACTATGAAAATAATGAACTATGTTGCACCAATAAGTTTAAATAAGAGAGTCAAGTGATCTCAGATTTGTACCATGTAATCTGATGGATCATGAATTAAAACTGGACTTAATAAAAAATTTTTGTACACTGGACATACGTACTTGATTCTTAAGACAATTTCCTGTTGAATATAGTTCAGCAAGGAGTAGAGGTAGGACCGATGAATTTACATAAAAATTTTTACGCATATATAAACATCAAATATATATAATAAGAGGACCGACTTGGATATTAATTTATTCCTGACATTTGCAGGTTTCAAGAGAACTTTAGAAGAACTTTTCAAATTTAGGCTCCTAGGAGGAGCAATCAAACAGAAACATTGTTTTAAACAAAATTTAATAGTTCCCAAATAAATGGATTAAACTAAATAATTCAGTTACACTGTTAACAAATAAAACTATTTTAATACTGAAAATCAACCAATGTAAAATTAATTTCATAGTTAATACATTTAAATTGCGACTCTTAACTAATGCAGGCAAAAATATTAAATGCCTTCCTGCATCCAAGAAATAATTTTCTCAGATTTGAGCAAAAATGTGATAATGTATATAATTTGTGGCACCACAATTGACATCTTAAGTATTTAATAAGACAATTAAAAAATGTTCAGAAGATCCTTTTTTCCAGAATTAATAAACATAAGTAAGTTATATAAACTTCAAAAGCAAAAATGTGTTAATGTGTATAATTTGTGGCACCACAATTGACATCTTAAGTATTTAATAAGACAATTAAAAAATGTTCAGAAGATCCTTTTTCCAGAATTAATAAACATAAGTTATATAAACTTAAAAAGCACTAACTTAAAATGATGGAATTCTGTTGCCTAGTTACACCACATGGCGGTAAACATGAGGCAGCATATGAATCAATCACTGCAAAATAATATTGAAATTTCCTTAAGTTTGCCACAATATTATTCCATTAAATAATATTTTTTTTGAATAATATATTTAATATTCAATAATATTAATTAATTCAATTGAATTCAATTAATATATTTGATAAACTTGACAACTTAACAAGAACTTATCTTCATAACCTTGAAAAGAATGCAAACATAAGGACAACTGAAAAAAGACCATATAAATAAATGAAAAAAGTCTCAAAATATTTGATTTTTGAGAACAGTTAACATACAAACATTGGAGAGAATATAAAATTAGAAAGTTACTCCATTGCAGACTAATAAAGCTACCAGTAAAAATATTATCTCTTTCATCCAAGTTATATTTTCTTATCAAGAAAGTAAGAATAGAACACAACACATGGACAATAGTATGCAAATGTTAGTTCATGACAGCAGTAACAACTAAATATCCTAACCTTATATCTATCAAAATAACATCAGCAGCATGAAGTAAGGCCAAAATTGTTTCCTTTTAAAATAACAGTACACTTAAGGTAAAATTCATAGTAAATTTATTCACTAAATTCAAAAAATTATTGTCAGTAAAGCTACACTTTCATCACAGAACAAAGGTGCTTCCAATATTATATGTATCCTTAGGTCAAAAGTTGAAATTTGATTTCTATGGCTTCAATTATCAATGTTCAGGACTGAGGTTCAGCTGAATTGAATCAAAATTCCGTCACATAAAACCCATCAAATTTATAAATATTTAGAGAACTATCATTAAAGATGAAATGGTAATATCTCCCACCAACACCAATTAATGGTCCTTGCCAGTAATCAGTCTCGCCAATTTTTGGAAAATCGAATTCATTTCAATGCAGAGTTCAATAATTTGCAAGACGTGCATGCATGAATATACACTCTTGCCATTACTAAGAAGTATATCTAGGCACATAATAACTCAAGTGTAGTCTTCATAACTTGATTACGTAATAATTCAGGTAGGAATATCATTATCACTATGAAACAAATTTGTCCACATAGGTGGTGACACGTTAAATCACAAGCTACTGTAGAGTAGCTCATGTTCAAAGTCATACCTCGTCAAGTTTCAGCAGAAGACACACACAACAAACATTTGATTTAAATGGAAGAACATCCCATCCTCCAAATTCATTTTATAAATAACCTTATAGATACAGCTATTAATATTAATATTTGATGTATCTAATATTCTAAGGAGGGCTTCAGCCATTCCAATTCTTAGAAGAGTTTGATATGGTGTATCTGAAAGAGATCAAGGTTTAAATTAATGTAATGAGAAACAGAATACATTTGCCAAAATTCCATAAATTGTGATTAGTACCTACATGATTTGTTTAGATAACTAACCTGAGTTTATGGTATCATTGCAGCAGTTATAGGCTGTCCCAACTTCAATCAGCAAATTAACATATGCATGGGCAAGCCTCTGATTTGACTCTTCCAATATTCATTCACATTTTTGCCACACTTGTTTACCAATTTTATTTTCATCATTGAGTGCAATTTTATTCTAGCATACCAATTTTCCTAATTAAAGACACACCACATAACTATCATTCAAACCTCATACTTTATCTTCTATGGCTGTAGCATTAAATTGTTCTTTATTATTTTGAATTAAAGACTAATTACATTTTTTTTACTATCAGACTTGAATTTACCTTCATTTGTTGATACACCCATGCAGTTGAACTTAACAAACAAGATTTGATGAAACATTACTGAAAACTCGAAATGAAAAACATGAAATAACCATTGCTTTGGAAATTTGAATAAACATAAAGGGCATAGCAATCGAATAGAAAATGATGACATCTCTCAGATCTCGAAAAAAAAAAAATCATTTATAGCTGCACCTTAAAAAATGACCCTTCCATAATAACAACCTATCTATGGGATCTCTGCTAATGCAGAGCGCTATAGCTCGAGATCTAGATAGCTCTAGAATAAGTCTAGATCTAGCTTCCCCTGCTACCATACTGAAAGACCTAGTGCTTAATCATATTTACAGAGCAGTAAGAATTATGACTTTAGTTTGAGAAGTGAACAGCAATCCTATTGAATTTACTTTTGTACAGCTAAGCAATACTTACATCTTCTCCTCATTTGCTCGTCTGGAGCCAGCAGTGCTGTAGTAATGGTCGTAATGTGTAGGTGCTGGAGCCGAGGGATCTCTTGGCACAATTGGAAAGCAACACCACAAAATAAATGCAACAAATGCCACCAGGGTGCCAATCAGCAAGATGAAGTCTTCAATTGTCTGTAATCAAGAAATTTTGCTATCAAACAACACAAAAAAAAAAAAACTACCGGTAGATTCAATGCAACACATAATAAGAAAAAAATTATTACAAATGAACAAACAAAGAAAATGGTGATTGGTATTAATAAGGATATTCTCATCTACTGAAAATTGCTGACTTCATGCATTTTATAGCAACTTACTGAAATATTCCATCCATTAAAAATTGTAAACAAGGAATTTAAAAGCAAAGAAAACACAGAGCAAATTCACCATATAGATATTGAAAATGTTTTGGAGTCCAGCTCCATCATCAGTTCAAAAAACTAAAAATGAATAAAATCATTTTATTATATCAAAATTCCAAGACAGACACATAACCTAAACAAGACCTAACATTATATAAAAAAAACAGGACTCGACATTTTTTATTTTATTTTATTTTATTTTTTTTATATAATGTTAGGTCTTGTTTAGGTTTTATGTCTGCCTTAGAATTTCGATATAGGTAGGTTCAGTTCAGTTCAGTTCTCTCCGCGCCATAAGGCGCACAAGGCTTGGACGTCACTCCTCCACTGGGTCCGGTTTGCAGCTGCCTGCCGTGCAATGTTCCACGAGTTCCAGCCTGCTCGGTTTCTCTCCTCTTCCACCATTCGCCTCCAAGTTGTTTTTGGGCGTCCTCTCTTCCTCCTTCCTTCAGGTGCCCACCCGAGGGCCACAGCACAGTCGCTTGCTCTGTCCTTCCTCAACACATGGCCCACCCAGTTCCACCTCCGTCTCCTCACCACATCACTCAATGGTGATTGGCATGAACATGAATATTCTCATCTGCTGAAAATTGCTGACTTCATGCATTTTATAGCAACTTACTGAAATATTACATCCATTAAAAATTGTAAAACAAGGAATTTAAAAGCAAAGAAAACACCAAGCAAATTCACATATCGATATCGAAAACGTTTCGGACTCCAGCTCCATCATCAGTTTGGAAAACTAAAAATGATTAAAATCATATTATTATATCAAAATTCTAAGACAGACATAGGTACCTAAAACCTAAACAAGACCTAACATTATATAAAAAACAGGACTCTACCTTTTTTTATATAATGTTAGGTCTTGTTAAGGTTTTATGTCTGTCTTAGAATTTGGATATAATAATATGATTTTATTCATTTTTAGTTTTTTGAACTGATGATGGAGCTGGACTCCGAAACATTTTCAGTATCGATATGGTGAATTTGCTTGGTGTTTTCTTTGCTTTTAAATTCCTTGTGAACTTACAATATAAGCAGACTGATAATATAAGTACTCAAAAATTGTAAATATGATGAATTTTCAGGTGCATGACAAAGAAATTTGATCAAAACAGCAATAAAAATATCAATACCTTTATAAAATGGAAATCAAAATGAGGAAAATAAATTACAGAAAGTCAACATAGAATTCTATTTTATATATACCTATATAAGTAAGTGCAAGTAAGTATAAATAATAATTAATATATACGGTACCATTTTTCCTTGTAACACAATAGAATTGTAAAGAAAGATATTACAGCAGGAAAATACAGAGAGCAGCAGACAACACAACAACTCATACTCACAGGCTCTTCCCCTAACAATATGGAGTTCACTAGATAAACAAAGTCATCAAACGGAGTCATTGTGGAAATCTAGATTATCTGTAAAAAATTAAGATAATTAATTAATAAAGGATTACATTGACCCTACATTCTACATAATGAAGGCTCAAGTTAACAGGTCTCATTTATAATACCTCCAGGAAGGCATTAATAAATATTAAAACAGATGTATCTGAATATCAGATTTTGTCTGGATGGATGATGCAATGAATTCTGAAAACTGTAAAAATCACTTCACCCCAAAAGAAAAATGGTGCTCTTATACCAGCTCCAAAAGTGTAATTTGTAGTAGATTACTGATAGGCATTCATTAGAGGGAAACTTTATAGAGATCTGGCACTGTGTTATGTAAGCTCATTGCTGTGCTTAACCCTTTAGCAGGCAAGCATTGATATACATATACAGAAATTAAAATTTCAGAAACCATTTCAAGAAAGTAAGAAGTACCTATTACATGAAATATTTATTTGTATGTATTTCTAAAAGTTTTGAGTATTGAAGGTTTAAATCATACTTCAAGAATTCATTAAATGCGGTCAGTACACGAAATTTTTCTTAATGTGGACATTGCAGGTGGTGATGCTATGGATGGAACGATAGTCAAATAATATAATTAGTGATTGAGGCGTTATAAGGACGCCTAAAAAACAAACAGAAAGCTGTAGTTCAGTGGTTGGGCTTTTTGTGAGGCAATTCCAAGTGATCATATATGGTAACTTGCTTGTGAAAGGGTTAATCAATTATTAGCATATTTGTAATTTGGAAAGTACCATCATCATTGTTAGTAACTTAGCCACAGCATTCATAAGTTATGTTGCTGGCCTTCAAAGGAGACACTCCATTTTTTTTGTAACAAAACTGAGCCGCAGCTCATAGTGGAAGTATACATAATGGATGGTCTCAAAGTTCCCCAAAAGCTACTGTCATACCTAGTTCCTCATTGGCTGTGTAGGAACTGAGGATTGGAGGAGGGGACTCTCCATAAACTTTGTGCACCACCCACTGACCAGGGGGCAGGGCTGGGCATAAAACTCAACCAGGGGATTAAAAGAACCACTTTGTTTTCACAACAGCCAACAAACACTAC